GCGGATTCTACAGTAACTCTATCTATTTAAAAAAATATTTGAAAAAATTTTTTTGAATATTTTTTCTGGACATGGAAGACTCAGAGGGGTGTTTCTCCGCGAATACATGACTTATTTGGATATACTATAGCTCATTCGAATCTACATTAAAAACAGTCTATAAAACTTGTTCTAAGCGGATTCTACAATAAATCTATCTATCTAAAAAAATTTTTGAAAAAATTTTTTTGAATATTTTTTCGGGACATGGAAGACTCAGAGGGGTGTTTCTCCGCGAATACATGACTTATTTGGATATACTATAGCTCATTCGAATCTACATTAAAAACAGTCTATAAAACTTGTTCTAAGCGGATTCTACAATAACTCTATCTATCTAAAAAAATTTTTGAAAAAATTTTTTTGAATATTTTTTCGGGACATGGAAGACTCAGAGGGGTGTTTCTCCGCGAATACATGACTTATTTGATATACTATAGCGCATTCGAATCTACATTAAAAACAGTCTATAAAACTTGTTCTAAGCGGATTCTACAATAACTCTATCTATCTAAAAAAATTTTTGAAAAAATTTTTTTGAATATTTTTTCGGGACATGGAAGACTCAGAGGGGTGTTTCTCCGCGAATACATGACTTATTTGAATATACTATAGCTCATTCGAATCTACATTAAAAACAGTCTATAAAACTTGTTCTAAGCGGATTCTACAGTAACTCTATCTATTTAAAAAAATTTTTGAAAAAATTTTTTTGAATATTTTTTCTGGACATGGAAGACTCAGAGGGGTGTTTCTCCGCGAATACATGACTTATTTGAATATACTATAGCTCATTCGAATCTACATTAAAAACAGTCTATAAAACTTGTTCTAAGCGGATTCTACAATAACTCTATCTATCTAAAAAAATTTTTGAAAAAATTTTTTTGAATATTTTTTCGGGACATGGAAGACTCAGAGGGGTGTTTCTCCGCGAATACATGACTTATTTGATATACTATAGCTCATTCGAATCTACATTAAAAACAGTCTATAAAACTTGTTCTAAGCGGATTCTACAATAACTCTATCTATCTAAAAAAATATTTGAAAAAATTTTTTTGAATATTTTTTCTGGACATGGAAGACTCAGAGGGGTGTTTCTCCGCGAATACATGACTTATTTGGATATACTATAGCTCATTCGAATCTACATTAAAAAGTCTATAAAACTTGTTCTAAGCGGATTCTACAGTAACCCTATCTATTTAAAAAAATTTTTGAAAAAATTTTTTTGAATATTTTTTCGGGACATGGAAGACTCAGAGGGGTGTTTCTCCGCGAATACATGACTTATTTGGATATACTATAGCTCATTCGAATCTGCATTAAAAACAGTCTATAAAACTTGTTATAAGCGGATTCTACAGTAACCCTATCTATTTAAAAAAATTTTTGAAAAAATTATTTTGAATATTTTTTGGGACATGGAAGACTCAGAGGGGTGTTTCTCCGCGAATACATGACTTATTTGGATATACTATAGCTCTTTCGAAACTACATTAAAAACAGTCTATAAAACTCTAAGCGGAACAAGTTTAAACAAGTTTTATATCTAAATATAAAATTTATTCAAAATTTTAATTAAAAATTTTTTAGTATAGTTAAGACATATTTAATAATAATATACAAAATAAAAAATTAGTATAAACCACATCCCTGTAGATTGTTTTGAATAATCAAGTCGATGACAGAATCGAGAATGAGCTGGACCTAAATAAAAAGTGTTTAAATATACAGCTTCCTAGTATATTTCATAAGGGATTCGAACATCCCACTAGATTAAGTAGAGGTAGAGTTGTCTGGAATTGGGTACTCGATACGTAACTGAATCGACGAACAAAGATATTATTTTCTTTAGGTTCTGGATAATCAAGGATTTCCAGAGAATCAGCGCCTTAGTCTCCGAGCTATCTGAGACTATCCGAAAGTTATGGATAGTTCCAGCGATTTTCCAAAATTATTTATGAACTCATATACAAAGGAGTCTCTATTTAACGACACCCAAAGAGTGCTAAGCCCTGCTTGTGAGCGCCGATGAATTAGGCTAACATAATAAAAGGCCACAGAAAGTGTGCCATAATTGAGGAATTTTTCTATAATTTATTTACTTGATTAGTATCAGTAGCACAAGTTTGATGCATATAAAGGGTTTTGTCAGGATTCGCATTCAGTGCTTCGAATTTTTCCTCGATAAATTTTACTTGTTCTTCGTATGAGTCAGAACCTTAAATTGATAATTTTAACTGATTTTAAGAAAATTTTAGTTGTTGAATGAATATGTGTACATAATATTTGATATTCAAAATATTAATACAGATATATAGAAAATTGAATTGAAAAACATTGTTCAGGGGGACATCGTAATTTTTTGGAAGTCAACTCAATTTGACTAATTTTTCATTTAGAAGGTTTAGAGAGCGTCCTGTATCAGATTTTGGCTCTATCTTAGGACATGCGTCCCATGAACATTTATGCGTCCCATGAACTTTTATGCGTCCCATGAAAGTTTATGCGTCCCAAAAATAGTATATGCGTCCCATGAATGTATATACGTCCCAAAAATTGCAAATGCGTCCCAAAATAATATAAGCGCTTGTGATGTTCGGGAGAAGAAAAAACTCGGGAAACGGGAGTCGGGAATTTACAATAAAAAATCCCCGCCCCGCCATAATAATAAAAAATTTAACGGCGGTAAATTGGGCTCGCGGTAAACTGGCCTGCTCCCAGTTTTAAGAGCCCCCCAAGTTGCCTCAATTTATTGTGTATGAACTATTGGATCGTTGGGGTCTACAAAATATATTCGATGGTTAACCCAACGATGATTATATTGTTGCTGAAAGTTGTTTAAGGCTGTACTATAGTATAGGTCCACCGAGATCGGAACTCATAGTATATACCATTCGATTCGTCTCGCCGAGCTGAGTTCAAATATGCAAGAATTTTCTGCGGGAGACGAAAACTCGCAGAGATACAGGCCCACGAAAATCGAAAAAACAAAGGGGGGACCAAGCTGATTTTTGGGGTCAAAAATTCGAATAGGCGAATTATACCTCATTCGAAAGAGCTCGTCGAGCTGAGTCGAATGAAACCAAAATCAACGAAATCTGACTTGATCTGACAAAGTTAAGATCTTTTCTTTTAGCTCCTTACCTATGGCATCTGTGGAGATTTTTGCTGCTACGGAGGCCCCAAATACGTCCAGAGCAAGAGATTTAGGAATAGGTTTATGTTACTAGCCCAGACCCAGCGCCCGTAGACTCCCCGCGAGGCGCGTGCCGCAAAACTCCGCGCGAAGCGCGGAGTTTTGCACAAGCGCCTCGCCGACGCTCCATAGGTTTAGGTTTTTTGTGTCATAACTTTGTCTAATCTTGTCCAATCACGGTAATTTTGGTGTCATTCGACTCAGCTCGTCGAGCTCTTTCGAATGAGGTATTATTTGCATATTCGAATTTTTTGATATCAGAAAATACCAAATTTCGGGGGTCTGTAACTCGGCTATATAGGGTCGGATTTCGTTAATTTTGGTATCATTCGACTCAGCTCGACGAGCTCTTTCGAATGAGGTATAATTTGCATATTCGAATTTTTCACCCCAAAATCGAGCTTACTCCCCCCTATGGTTTTTCAATTTTCAATCGCCTGTATCTCTGCGAGTTTTCGCGTCCCGCAGAAAATTCTTGCATATTTGAACTCAGCTCGGTGAGACGAATCGAATGGTATATACTATGAGTTCTGATCTCGGTGGACCTATACTATAGCGACCCCTTGTTTAAACCTCCATACACTGCCCAGCCATCGTTAATGATGGTTGATCCAGGAAATTCACCCATATGAATGGTAAATATTAATTTAATGCTCGTTGTCCCTTGAGCAAGGAAACATATAATAAAATATTTAATTGTCATTAATAAAATTACAAAATGTTTTTACAATTGTTTTACGCTTATATTAATTTTGGGACGCATATACTTTGAAAGGACGCTTATACTATTTTTGGGACGCATATACATTCATGGGACGCATATACTATTTTTGGGACGCATAAAAGTTCATGGGACGCATAAATGTTCATGGGACGCATAAATGTTCATGGGACGCATGTCCTAAGATAGAGCCCAGATTTTTTGGAAGCCAAAGCTAAACTATGGCTAATATGACTAATTTGGGTACGTTAAAAAAATAGGTTTTAATTTCGGTATTCAAATTGATTTTGTTTAAATATCAATTTCGAATCATAATTGTTTATACCGGTCAATCCCTAGTTACACGATATCTTATTAATTATTTAAAAATTGATTAAAATATAAGCAAATCAGGTGACTATGTCAAGGAATTTATATTTTATTGTCATTTTTTGGGAGTCAAAGCTCGACTTTGGCTAAATACATAATAATATAAATTTCGGCCTTAAAATTTTAAGAATAATTTTGTTTCAGAATTTTTCATGTTTCCTAGTAAAATAAAGAATCATGCCACACATGTGAGTTTTAAAATGTTTCGGTTTTTATCTACCAGTGTTTATCTACCCTCGATGATCACACAATTTTCCCAAGAATCGATCTCAAGGTTACTTAATGATTGGTTAAAAATTATAGAAATTATAATAATCGTTCGAATTTGGTTGAGGTGGCTTCGGTTCTGCATTTCCAAATCCTATTTTTTGGAAGCCAAAGATAAAATTTGGCTAAACACTTGGTTTTCAGTCTTTTGTATGTGGGTCTTCTGTCCTTGGGTCTTCTGTCTGTGGGTCTTCTGCGTCGACACGATCCCTAGTTTACACAATATCATAATAATTGTTTAAGAACTGATTAAAGTATAAGTAAATTTGTTGACTATGTCTAAAGGCATAGTCACTATTTCCTTCGCTAGTCACTCTTTCTTTCGCTGCAATTTTTTGGGAGCCAAAGCTTGACTTTGGCTAATCTCTTGTTACCGTAAGTCGCCTCGGTTTGGAATTTTCAAAAATGGTTATTACCTTTATAATCATTGAAGCAAACTTTAATTGTTTTCCTTTTAATTTTTTCGATAAATAAATCTGTCTTGTTGAGAAAAACAATCATTGAAGTATTTATGAACCATCTAGAATTGCAAATACTTTCAAAGAGACGCATTGATTCTAACATTCGGTTCTGGAAAAATTTAATTTTAAAAATTGATAAGAAGCTTTTGGGGAGAATATTGCAAGAAAATTATCGAAAAAGACGCCTAAAATATATGTTAAATAGATAAAGCCCTAAAGGCATGTGATCTGCAAAAGGGTTGATCTAAACTAGGTAAGCACTGTCAAGAAGGTCCATGTTAAATTCAGATTCTTATACCATAATTGGGCACCCTAGCTTGATCTTTTCTAGATATTGATTCTAAAAATTTGATAGATATAATAAATTTAAATTCAATCTATTCTTAAGTATTATCTTCTAAACGATCTTAGCATAGCAGATTCTTTTTGCAGTAATTTTTTGGAAACCCATAAGTATTGGGTTGATTATATGTATATCCCTGGATAGTGCCACAAAACCAAAAAATTTTACCGTAGCCTCATCTTCAAACAAAACTTGATCAAATTCACTAATTGCTGTAATGAAGATGATGGAATTTACATTCTCAAAGCAGTGGATCCATTTTTTCCTTTCGGATCGCTAAATTTTTTGAAATAATTTTAAGAATTATTATTTAATTCCCAACCTGTCCACCAACATCAAATACCAAAAAGTCAACAGCTTTCATTTTGAAAGCAACCTAAATTTGAAAAGTTTAAAGAAGTTTGCTTAATATTAAATAAAAAATTAAATGTTATATTTTTGGATTAAGCATCTAATGATATTTATAATCGTATGATAAATCAACTTGTTTATTTTTGCAAGTCTTAGCTTCTGCTAAGATTAAATTTTATTTTAAAGATACGACTCCAAGAGTCATGACAGAAAGTACGAGTATACCAACAAATGAACGCACTCTATTACTGGACTTGATAGACAAAAGGTAATTTAAGTTTGATTATTAGTCTGATCGAATCGACTTCCAAAAAATTATAGCCCTGTTGCAAAAATCGACGATATTTTCCACAAGTAATTTTCAATATATCTGTGATACTATTTTAAATATTCTATATTTTGTACAACTTCTCATGTAATAACTCGAATATGTTTGGGATATCAATCTCGTTCCGGCCTCTAGTCACAAGGGCAAGTCTTAGCTGTAGCTAAGTACAATGTTAATATTTAGACGAGATTGGGATGGTCATACATAATAATCTCATGAGGTACATTGAGAAATTTCGATCTGTCTAGGCTAGACTTACCATGTTGTCAATTATAAATTGAGATTAATTATTAGTCAGATAGAGCTGACTTCCAAAAAATTAAAACCTCTGATGCTCAACACATATCTTCTCAATTTAATTTTTCATTTATCTCAGTTACTATTTTAAATATTCAATAGTATGCAGATACACTTTCTAATATAACTAGAGCTTGGATTTTTAGGTTCATTAGGGAAATTTATTAGGGAAAAACAGCCATTTGCCTAAACCTCTTGGAACTAATAATGACTCAAGTATCTTCGAAATCTCGCTCGGTCCCGTCTCTCGTTTTCAATGAACTCCAATACCTCGGCACTCCATTATCAAACTTATTCAAGTCTTTTTTCATTCAAAATCTACCTCGATTATTCCAGTAGTTTTGATCCTGCTTAGAAGAATGTCTTGTTCTGTAGGCCTATAATCTGGGTTTGAAGTACGGTCGATAGCGTCGAGAAAACTGTAAAATAATTTTTTAATTGAATTATGTTGCGATAGGTGTTTGATTAATATTAAATAAATTAATTTTTAATTTCTAAAAGTTGAGACATATAGCTGACAGTGCAAATTTATGATTTTTTGGTGTGCTAAGACTAATACCCTATTACAGTTCGTAAGGTGGAGGTCCCTCTTAATTCACAAACCTCTCGACGTCACCCCCAAATCTTTTTGATCCCCGGACTTAGATCTTTATTTCCAAATCCCTCGATATCAGCCTTGATCCTTTAATATCAACCATATCTCTCTCCCAAATCCTTAGACTCGCTCTAGATTCTCTCCCAAAGAATGTTTAGATAAATTAGCCATAAATTCTCGGCTTCCAAAAAATTTCGAACTTAAAATTGAACGGCTTAGCTAAGTCTATTACTCAGGTCTTTTTATAAATAAAATCCATTTAGTTTATAAGTTTCAAATAATGGCTTGGAAAACGTGTATGTGTGTTATGCAGAAGTTTAATCAAACTTACTATTTGCTGTTTTCAACTAATTGAAATTCTTGACCTCGTGGAAGCACTTTTTCTTTAATATTTTTATCGGCCCAAAGTGCCTTGATTGCTTGTACCAACTCATCGGTATAAGGTTCTGATTCTTCTCCCTTTCTGACTATATCGAGAACAACACGAGCGGCTGACTGAAAAAATCAAAAATTATTAAAAACTGTATAAATCTCCATAAAATTTGAGAGAAATAGTAGCCAACGAATTCGTGGCTTCCAAAAATAACGGAGGATCGAGTAAAAATCGGCTAGATAACTTTGTCTTGTCCGAGCTAAATATGTCTTGTTTTTATAATTATTTAATAAGTTGCACGCATACTGTAAGGATTTTCACCTAGAAGTATTTAAAAGGTAATATCCCTCAATATCACTGGTAATTCAACAAACACCCTCTAAAGTCCTCCCCGGATGCCAAATGTGTAGCCTAATTTATGTACCTCAATTCATGTACACCTCAATTCAGCTAGTCAAGGCGCATCTAACATACCAGGGCGTCCCGGTTCCGAAATTTTTAACAAAGTTATATTTCTGCGGTGCGGAGCGCTTGGGTCACGCGAGCCTGCTACCGCAATTAAAATGCTTAGACATGTCGGTTCGTTGAATTATACTTTCGGAATTGAACAAAATACAGAATAGCTATTATATCAATTTATTTTTGTTAATTATTAAATTATTTTAAGCCTACTAGAAGGTCAGAATTATGAATCTTTATTTTTTGGAAGTTGGATTTATCCATCTAAATTATCACAAAAATTATCTCCCCCTCAAGAAAGGTCAAATAAACTACTTGAGCATTATCCTAGACGGATGGTCTTGGTATTATTGCGACTTGTTTATTAGGAGGCGGACAATGCGTCTGTGGACAATCGGTTAGTGAAATATCTCGGAGGACTAAGAGAGATATCTTCTGAAAGATACCTCACTTAATCCTTCATAATCCCCACAAATCCTTCAATATCCCTCTTAATCCCCCTCAGATTACCCTGAATGTCCCTTAATACCCCGAGATCTTTGACTGACAAATGTCCACACACGCATTGGCAGGACACGATTTATAATTAAAAATACCTCTAGTCCTTTATTCTCAAACGGTATATTTAATTTAGACATTCCGTGAAGTAATGTTGCCATTGCTAGAACTGAAAAGGCAAATTTTTAATTCGATTCAAATTTTTTAATTTGCCTGTATTATTATAAACAGCAAATTTTTGTTTTTCCTTTTCTTCCTCAGTAAATCCATGGTCGTGCAAAATTCTTAAATTAAGTAAATTTGTAATTTTTAATGCAGACCCACATAAGATTGGATACAAGTAATGAACGCTCCCGGTCAGTGGAAAATGCGTCAGTGGACAATCGGTCAGTATTTATATAAAGTGATTAAAAGTGATGACATAAAAAGATAAAAATCCATTAATATCTCTCCAAATCGGCTGATCTCCATCTTAATCCATCAAATAAGTTAATATCTCTGTTAATCCTCCCAAACCCGAGATATCGGCCTTAATCCAAACGAATCCCTCTATATCTCTTTCAAACGCCGAAACCCCCTTTTAAATACTTCTAATCTGTTTATATCCCATCTTTAGTCTTTTTATATCATTTTATCTCTTTATATCATCATTTTTAATCACTTTATATCAATACTGACCGATTGTCCACTGCCGCATTGTACGGACACGAAATGACCGGATATCCAGAAAATTTTTTTAAAAATCTCTAATCTCGGATGCCAGAACAAAGTACTTGGATATCATGGATTCAAAAAATATTAATAAAATGACTCATTAAGTAGTGGGGTGTACCAAATAAATGAGGCTGGAGGCGCGAATAAAGCCAATGGAATCGAGAATATATTGTTTATGTTGATTTGAAAGGTATTGAGAATTAAAATAATGAATTATGTAAAGGACTCTTTTGTTGAATTAAGTAGAACAATATTTACTATGAAATATCAGATATATTTTTTGGATGCCAGGCAGAGCCTAGGCAATTAAATAGTACTCTCCCAGCCCGGTCTCTATTTGAAGATATCAATTCCCGAAGATCAGAAATTTGTTTTGAAGTCGGTAGGATTTGAAAGGTGTCAAATAATTAAAATATAATAAATTATGTAAAGAACTCTATATGTAGTCGGTCAAATTACAAGTCAATGTAGTACAATGTTATTTTTTGGATGCCAGGCAGAGCCTAGGCAATTAAATAGTACTCTCTCAGTCCGGTCTCTACATATTTGACGGTATCAATTCCCGAAGATCAGGAATTTGTTTTGATGGCGGCAGGATTTGAAAGGTGTTAAGTAATTAATATAATAATTTATGTAAAGGACTCTTTTGGTGAATTACGTGGCAGAAATTACAACGCACTTATATTTTTTGGATTCCAGGCAAGGCCTAGGCAATTAAATAGTATTTAATTTTAATTTAATTTAATTTTATTTATACGAACACCAAAAGGTACATACAAGCATGTACACTTACAATGGATAAAAAAACAATACAAATAAATGCGTTGGTAAAATTATAAAAACTTTTAAAAAAAAAATGATATTTGAAAAAATAAATGTGATAAAAAAATATATGTGATTAAAAAAATATATGTGATTATATTTAATGAAAAATAATGTTAAAAACCCTTAAAGACCAAAATCTACACAATTAGCTAATACTCTAAATTTTTTGGGATTTGCACACTCAATGACTTCTTTAGGTAATTTATTCCAAATGTTAATGACTCTAATGAAGAAATTATTTTTTGTCTTAAATGAGTACCCTTTATTTTGAATTAGATATTTCCTGCGTAAATTTCTTTTCGCAAATATAAAAAATTTATCTGGTTTTAGATGGGTATGTCCGGTTATAAATTTATATGTCATACATAAGTCTGAAATACAGCGTCGCTCAGTTAGCTTCTTAAGCTTACATAATTTTAATCTTTCTTCATAGTTCCTAGGTGTAATGGAGCAAATTTTAAGAGCAATTCGTGTAAAGAATTTCTGGACTCTCTCTATTTGGTGGGAGGTTTCCGCTTTAGATGGATTCCATACTTCAGTTGCATATTCTAGACAGGGCCTTACATACGTTTTGTAGCAAAATACAAGTTTATTTATATCTTTAGTTTTAATTACTCTAAATATCTGGTGCGCAAGGAAATAAGCATTTTTAATAATTTTCTCATAATGCTGGGAAAATGATAAACTAGAATCAATTATAATACCAAGATCCCGTACACTATCCACTTCACTCATTTGTTTTCCTAGTAACTTATATTTTCTTTTATTATTATTTTTCCCTATGTAGAGAACAGAACATTTTTCTAGTGAGATGTCTAAGCCATTAATAATAGACCATTGTTCAATACATGATAGAGCTTCGGATAGAATTTCAGTTTTAAAATCATTTTTATGTTCGATATACAGCTTCACATCATCAGCATAAATTTTTATATTTATATTTTCAGGTAAATATTTTGGTAAGTCATTAATAAATATTAGAAAAAGCAGTGGTCCGAGTACACTACCTTGTGGTACACCAGATAAAGTTGAGAAGCTATCAGAAAGGGTATCTTCAATCTTAACTCTGAATGTTCTGTTTTCTAGGAAATTCTTAATAAACATATATATTTTTCCAGATATACCAATTGATTTCAATTTATAGAGTATCCTGTTAATAGGTACTGAATCAAACGCTCTAGCAAAGTCAATATATACTAAATCTATAGATTTATTTTCCTGTATCGCCTTATAGAAATCATTTAACATTACTAGCATTTGTGTTGATGTTGATCTGTTAGTTAGAAATCCGTATTGTTCATCAGAGAAATAAGATTTTTTATTTAAAAATCTTATTATTTCAATACTGATTATTCTCTCTAATACTCGACAGAGCGTACATGTTAGTGATATAGGTCTGTAGTTGTTAGGATCTGATTTGTCACCTTTTTTGTGGATTGGTATAATTATAGATGTACTCCATATTTTCGGAATATTTCCACTATCTAATATTATTCTAAATATTTCAGTTAGTACTGGGGCTAGTTCTTCTGCTGAATGTTTCAGTAATATATAAGGAATTCCATCCGGAGATGTAGAATTTTTGTTAGGGAGCTTCCTTAATAGGTCTCTTATCTGAATTACATCTAAGTCTAGATCTAGCATCGAAATCTCGTTATTTTCAATTAAAACTTTATCTTGCAACTTCTTGTCACTAAAATTAGTTAAAAATGTCTTAGCTAGTATATTGGACTTTTCTAAGTTATCTTTATATATTTTATCATTGGAATCTGTAAGAAATGCTATATAACCATTATCACCCATTTTTCTCTTAATAAACTTATGAATAGAATTATAGCCTTTGGAAATGGCAATTTGCTCTTTTTTAAGATTATGAGATTGAATTTTTGTTTTTAATTGTTTTGAAATAATTTTATATTTCATTTTAATATCAATATTCGAAGGGGTTTTCTTTAATTCATTGTAAGTTGAAAGTTTTCTTTTATAAAGGTCTTTGATATCCCTAGGATACTTTTCTTTTATTATCGTTTTAATCGGTCTTAGTGGGATAACTTTATCATATATACTCAGTAGACATGTTGTTAACTTAAAATATTTTTTATTAGTATCTCCCAGCCCGGTCTCTATTTTGAAGATATCAATTCCCGAAGATCAGAAATTTGTTTTGAAGTCGGTAGGATTTGAAAGGTGTCAAGTAATTAAAATAAATTATATGTAAATAACTCTATAGTTGGTCAAATTAGAAGGAAAGATTTATGGCAAATGTTATTTTTTGGATGCCTAACAGAGCTTAGGCAATATAATGCCAAGATTCTGGGTTTTCCGCACTCTGATCTCACTAATTTTGTGTTAGAAATAGAGATTGGATTGTGGCGAGTTTTCAAAGAAAAAGTTCGGGTGAAGGGAATTTCTCAATGTGATCTCTATTGAAAAGTCTATCCTAAAGTCTGTTTTCGAACACGAGCTATTAAGACCTTCTAAGCAAGCATCAATTAACATGGTTTCTATTAGAGTTCTTTTCGTCTCAATTCCGAATGATCCGAAATTTATTGTAGTGTCGGCAGGATTTGAAAGGTGTTTAATAATTAAAATAATAATTTATTTAATGAACTCTATAATTTATGTGAACGACTCCATTCGTTCGATCCTTTTATTTTTTTTGGATGCCTAGCAAAGCTTAGGCAAGTTATTACCAATTTAGAGTCATTTTACCGCTCTGATTTAGTATTAGAAAAGTCTATTTTAAACTTATTCTTCATATCATGAGATTACTGACCTCATTTGCTTCAGTATTGTACTCTTTCCGCATTCTCCTGCGCCTTAAATTTAATAAAGTTTAACAATTTCTGGCTTCAAAAATGTAATGACTGACCTAGCAAAAGCAATTTAACAATCTTTTGATGAGCAATGTGTGCCTGAAAGGAAATTTTATTATTACCATTGAATTATACGTAAATTTTTGGGACATAATTTTGGTTAGGATGATTAGGTTACCTTTAGTTTTAGCCTGATTTAAGATCGGCTTACAAAAATATAATCTACAAAACACCACCAACATAACTTCGAGTTACTTAAATTCTTTTTTAATATAATTAATTATATAAATTATATTGTTAAAAGATATCACAAAATTAGATTTATGCTTATTTTTGAATAAGTAACAGAATAATTATTAGTTTGTCCTCACTTGCTAGAAGGATCCCCCCTTTAACTCGAGGTGGATAAGTGTTCGAGCTAGAAAACTCAATGTGGGGTATGTAGTGTAATTATTTTTTCAACCTCTCACCGGTAAGGTTGGCAGACCTGTCCGCCAAGCTCACTTACCAGACGAGGTGAATAATCAAGGATTCGATGAAAGGGAGATTAATCGAGGAAATACAGTAGTAAATACTTCAAGCTTTATGTTAAATCATAAATACCTGCAATAAATCTTTGTCAATTTGTTTCGTTTTTGACTCCAACTCCTTCTCTTCCTGGCTTTGGCATATTCCCATTTTTATTTTTTTAATGTTTACGGTATAGGTAGTCAAATTAATAAGGGTTTTTGCTGTCAATAAAGACTGCTAAATTAAAGTATGAAAATTCTAACAAAACAATATAGAGATTAAAAATTGAGATTCAAAGGTGATAAATGACTAGAAATCGGACTGAAAGGGTAGTAGGAAGAGTCTAGAGAACCTAATTTTATTCTGTCGCCACCCATCGGCTGCTGCAAATCTGCTGTTGTTGTTATTTCCATTCGCTGTCCATTCCTTGGTCTTTACACTTTACTTCCCTATTGCTGACTAAATAAAGTGTAAAGAACAAGGAAATGGGCAGCGGCTGGGAATAATAAGCAGCCTATGGGTGCTTGGATGGCGAATTGATTAGGGATTAGGCCTCCGTTTGGAGAGAAGGGTCACAGGATCGAAGGACAGCAATCCAACCCAATTTTCAACTCGATATTTAGTCTAGCTCCGATCTCATATTAAACTTAAGCAAAAAAAATAATGAGTACAAATTGTGGTGGTAAATTAATGAGCATTGCCGATGTAAGTATACGGAAGTACGTATGTCTACGTTAAGTTGAGTACAACCTAAATAAGCGAGGAAATTGTAGCTAAACGTATTTATTTTTTATTAAATTGTATTTATTAATAGGTATACATCTGATTTTGTGATGTTTAGTACATGAATAAGTACACAAGTCCTTATACTTCCTTTTTATAAGGGATTTGGACCTAAGATTCAGCTAATAATTTATTTTGACATAGTGATTACACTGGGAGTGTCGTATGAGAATCGAGGTAACTGAGTTTAACTAGGGGTTTTTTCGAAATTTCGTCTGTGTCTGAATGTTAGATCAAAGTGGTCGGATATACGATTGGATACAATCTTGCTATGATAGAAAACTGTAAAGTAGTGAAAAGTATTAAATTTTTTATTATAATGAATTTATTAATTAATAGTTAGAAGCATAGGTATGCATAAGCCGAGAAAACCCACAACGTTTATTTTTGTAAGTTGAACTTAGGATTCAACTAATAATTAGTTCAAAATGAATTAGATAACGATGAGATAATGGGTTTCGAGTAACTCTTCGAACTTTGCAGAGAGAGTTGAGAACAACAAAGGGCCGGATTTTTAAGTTTCCCTAGGTTCGGGTTTTGGGTCGAAAGCTTTGGAAATACTTCATAAAATAATCGGCACGCGGACATGTCGGGACAGACATATCGTGATATTTAATGTGAGAACAGTTACGCTACTGATTTCGGAACCTACGGCTACTGGGTATTGGATAGTACATTGTTGAGGAATAGAGTTTTTATGTTTTAGAACAAACGTAAACACGCAAAAAATTATTTTTGTCACAACAATCCTGATATGTCTGCACACCAAATAATCGGATATAGGGGAGGGGTTTGTGAGGAACGAAAGGATTCCCGAACTAAAAATATCTCGAGAATCACAATTCACAAAAATCGCCTATTTTTCTTTATGGTCTCAATATCCCTAGTCAATAAACCGCAATATTCATTACGTAAAACACAAAAAAAGTTGTTGGCTCTTAAGAATGTTTATTCGTTTTTTGACAGCTTGTTATAAACACCAACTTTACTCAATAGCTAAAATAATTTTCACATTGTAGTCAAATGCTATGGCAACAATAAATTAATAATTTAGTTTTATGTTAAGGTAAATAAAGAAAAATATATGGTGGGAACAAAAAGTACGGCTGTCATTAATTTAATAATTCAAATAAGAGAATTAAGCCAAAAATTAATGAGGATACGTAGGGGGTTAGTGTGAAAATTAAATTAACACAAAAAAAGGTAAAGTGAATTAGAACTTAGTTTGTTAGTTTCTCTGAAGAGTTGGGGAAGGAAAGGAAAGAAGTTGTTACATATAGAGATGAATAGGGTTGTACCCCGTCCCCGTCCCTGAAAGTCGGGGAATTTGAGAGATTTTTTGAAAATTCCCCGTCCCCCCCCCCCCCCGTGAAAAATAAAAAAATTTTCCCCGTCCCCCCTCCCCCCGTCAGGGAACAACCCTAGAGATGAAGCGCCAAGATTAGGGGTGATGAAGAGGAGGATGGAGCAAAAAGTGATCTCATACGCTCCCATCTGCCATGACTCCACCGAATACCTTTTGCACTAGCAGATTTTAAAGTAACTCCCATCTCAATAAAAATAATTTACTCAATATATTTCTTTAAATTAAAAAACGATTAATATATTTATTAAATGTTAGTGGGTAAATGGACTATTGTTTGTAGATAAGTATTATTTCTGTAAGCCAAATAGGTATTTTTTTTTGTAAGCCAAATAGGTATTTTAAAGAAATCATGAAATTTCTATTTACTTAGATTTACTCGAAGTTTCCAAAGTGAAGTATTGGAAAAAAGGGAGTGAAACTGGAAAAAAGTCAATTATAAATGAGAATTTATGGCAAATTTGCTGAAGGATTAAATTTATTCTAAAAATAAGTTTACAATAAATTATAAGAAAAATCGAGAAATAATTATCATAAATGGAAGCATTGATAAATTATAAATTGTAATTTATTAATATCTCAATAGACTTATATTTTTAGATTTCCGGATTTTATTTTAGAAATTATTGTTACAGCAATTATTGAAATAGAAAATAAAACAAATATTAAATAACAAATATAGAACAAAAGAATTGAAATGAATTAAAAATAATTTAAAGAAATTTGTTTAAAATGCAATGTTTAGAGAAAACAATTAAACTAAAAATAATAAAAAAATGTATATTGTGTAAATAATTCATTTATGAATTTTTGCAAAATTTATTTTTTGTAAGAATTACAAGAATAGAAGGGAATATGAAATTAGATTAAGGGAGGTGTATGTAAAGACTAAAAGACCAAAAAGGATTGTTACACTCGAGTTGGAGAAGTTTGAGTTGGAATATATGTTTCTCGATGTGACAAGCAAGTCAAAGGAACGCACAAGCAAGAGCATAAGATACTGTATATAAAACCTACGTCTTGTTTGGATAACCTCCCCAGAAGGCTTAATACGAGAAATTTATAAAGTATTTTTGTTGCATGGGTACTTAAACCGTCCGAAATTATATAAATTTATAGAAAATGTGATACAAAAAAATAAAATATCTCAACAAAGACTGTAGCAGTTTATTAAAAATATTTAACAGACGAGATATAAGAGTTTAATGAGTTAATCTTCAAATATATCTATTTTGTTAAGGAAAAGAATCATTGCTGTATTGTAGAACCATCTTGAATTACATACTGAACGGAACAAACGTAGAGATTTAATCATTCGGTTCTGAATAAAAATAGCTTTACCTAAATATAATAATTTAGTCCATCTATGTGGACTTGCAAAAATATAATTTCAAAAAAATGAACCAACAACCAATAAATACAAAATATTTTTTAATTACTTACAAACAACAAAAATAGAAAAATGAATACCGTATTTCCTATATTAGAGCCCCATGGGGCTCTATTTTTCAACTATTCTCCAAGGTGGGGCTGTATTAAAGGGTGGGGCTCTAATTGAGGGTGGGGCTCTATTTTTCAACCCTCTTTTGAGATAAAATCCCATTTATTAAATATCCATTGCAACTAGAGATAGGCTGGAGGGGTGGTCGATAAAACCGAAAAATATCGAAAGGAATCGAAATTTTCGATTTTTCACAAAAATTAAAACTTTTTAAGCAATGAATAACAAAATAGTCGCAATAGTTCAATTAGAGTAAGATTACTAATTGTAAGTATGAAATTTTGGTAGATTTGGACGGATTAAAAGAAATATTAGGGGACTAGTATTTGACATCGATGGATCAGAGGTATAAAAGTTGATTTTAAGGGATTATGGGGAATATAATAGGATTAAGTTTATATTGAGAGATTTAGCGGGATTAATTTGTAAGAGGGGTATTCTGAATTAGGGGTATTAGGAGGCATATGAAGCGATTTTGTTTGATGAGGCCTTGGAACAGGTTCCAGAACTGGAACTGAAGTAATTCAAAAAGCAGTTCCAAAACGGGAACCGGTTCCAGAGAAATTTTGGAACTTCTCCATCACTGATTATAAGCGAATAGATCTCTAATAATCTCGCGAATTATCGTCAATTTCCTAACACGATTGCAACACTTCATACAATGATTAGATTTTGGAGGTAATAGGAGGAATTTAGAGGAATATAGGCGATATTAGAGTATTTTGACGGATAACGGGATTAATCCCTCATTTTCATCCCTAATCCCCATGATCCCTCCTCCTCCATGATCACAATATCATCAATATCCCCCTTTACTTCCTTAACTCTCGAAATACATCTAAAAAGTTATTCGGATATTTTTTTCCTCCAATATTTTTAAGTGGGGCTGTATTTGGGGTGGGGCTCTAATTGAGGGTGGGGCTCTATTTTTCAACTATCCTCCAAAGTGGGGCTGTATTAGAGGGTGGGGCTCTAACAGAGGGTGGGGCTCTAATATAGGAAATACGGTATCTTTCAAAATGTATCCCTAATATCCACTAAATAAACGAAAACCCTTTACGGCCAGACTATTCTGAACTAATTTTTTGCTTTGGTATATTAATTAATTTAGTCCACTTATGTGGACTTCCAAAAATACTGTGTATGGCAAATGTAAAACAACAACTCATCTTCTATGAAAAACACCGTTATAACCAATAAAATTGAAAAAATAATTATCTTTTAATTATAATATCGAACTCTAATTTCGTTCTTTAATATAGTACATACTACCACGGAACAGGATAAAAATTAGTTCAATTACAGACTATATTGCCTAAATTAGTAACACTATAATTTTTGAAAATTTATTTTCTGATTCAGATGACCTTAGCTAGTTCGAAGAAGCATGAAAAACTGTATATAAAACTGAATTGCAGAAAAAGTGCATAAAAGACTGCTACAAATTTTTTGTTTCACATTTGTTAGTTTCAGAAATTTGGCATTCTGCAGGGATTACTGGTCTTTGTCGACTTCTGATCCTTTTGGCGCAGACGATATACTAAAGCCGAGTTTATTGGGTTTTCTTGTAAATAACGATCTACTTAGTAAGATACTAACGTTCTCTTGCTTAACTTTATTTGTTGAGTCATTGCATCAACATCCAAAAAATAACGTGAATAAATTAGCGGCAACGAGATTGGCTTTCATAAATATATAAATACTAATAAACAAGGAATAATCAAATAATTAATATTGTTAAAAGGTTTCTGATAACGCCAATAATCCTACAGTTGACTAGAGTTCTAGTTTCGAAATCTAACAGAATCGAGCTTTCTGTTTGGTTCTTAGGTTATGTTCAGGATGTGGCTACACACTTAGAAACTAACGTTATCTCGCTTAGCTTTATTTGTTGAGTCATTGAATCAACATCCAAAAAATATCACATTAAGCAACACTGGACCGAGTTTCATAGAATATATTAATACTGATAACTATAGAATAATCAAATAATTAATATTGTTAATAGGTCTCGGATAACCCCAATAATCTTGCCCTCAATCCTACAGATGACTAGGTATCTCGGTTCGGAACCTATAAGCCGAGCTCTGCTTCGGCTAATACGGAAAAGGGCAGTGATGTGTAAGGAGCCGTCTGAACTTTTGACAATGAACCTTTACGCGCTTCCTTACGCATCATACTAATTAGTAACACAAAGGTATAAAATTTTTTATTTTCTCGATTAATTAAAACTCGCTGATTTGAAGGTTTTTTTGTTGTTGTGTTTTGCGTATTGTCGTTCTAATATTTTTGGAAGTCAAGCAACGCTTAGACTAAATGATATGGTTCTTATTCAGTTCGCCGAGATGCATCGAACCATACCAAGGCGTCCCGGATTCGACTATTATGAACGAAGCTATAGCTTTGCTGTACGTTGGGCTCGCGGTACGTTGGCCTGCTCCCTTTATATGTTAGTCAAAAAAGCATTAAATTAGTCTTTATAAAATTTTATTCTAACTCAAATATATAAAAATTTAAATTTTAAATTAAAAAATCGTCAACAAAGCCCGTAACCGTGTAGAATTTTTTGTAAAAGCGCATCAATCACGTTGTCAAGTATCAATTGAATCTTAAATTGAAATTTTTAGTTTTTTAATATTTCAGATAAATGGTCAGTAAAATCGTGTTTGCTGGATTCTGCATGCGGGATTTTTTAAAAATACGTTGCGGGACAGGATCCCGTGGGAAAAATCCCGCAAATCGAAAAAAGTGGGATTGCGGGAAGGGATCCCCCGAAATCCCGCGCGGGATCTAAATCAAACTCTTACATTATATTCATTTGTTAACTAATTCAGTTCTTTGAAAATAACATTAAGAAGAATCATTAATCCAATTTTACGATTGGACTTGCAAATATAAACCAAATATAGTAATGCCGGGTTTAACACAAATGGCGAGTTCAATTTTTAAATATAGTAGAGGAATGAAAAATTATATATCTTTCACAAAAACAGCTTTTTCTTAGACACTTCCTATGGTCGGATTAATAAACCGTAATACATCACTTTGTACAATTTATTTACCTGATTAGTATCTGTAGCACAAGTTTCGTGAATATAAACAGTTTTGTTTGGATTGGAATTGAGAGATTCAAATTTTTCTTCGATGTATTTGACTTGGTCTTCATATGTATTTGAACCTTTAAAATTTGAAAACTGAATTTGAAACATATTAATTAATTTAAATAAAATTTGATACAATAAAGGCCAAATGGATAATAATTGGGTGTATGAGCCTGTAGCTCCTGGTTTATTTTTGTAAGCCGAGAATTCCCTCGGCTAATATAAAGCTTGTCATTTTCCCTTCATTTTGAATTGATTAACAAAATCATAAAGGTTCATTACCGCTCAAAGGCAAGCCATTGCCTAAGACTGTAAAGGTGTGAGTGGATCCCAACAAGCACCGTTAAAAATCAGCGTGTTCAGTCCCTGCTTCGTGGGTAACGCTAACTTGACCCTTACAAAATTGGATACTGTTGCCGGGTAATGAATGATATCCAGATTCGAAATGTTCTAATAACCGGAACTTATGTTCTGATATCTGTAACGGATTCAAATATCCAGTGACATTCCCGTATCCTCCAAACCTACCTGAAAATACGCTATTAAACCTGTTATCATATTTCTCTTAAATTTTTTTAGTGAAATTTGATACGTATCAATTATAATTGTAAGGGTAGTGCTAAATACATAACAAGACTTTACCCGATGGAATCCAATCATTTGTTTCGATGTTTTATTTTTGTAAGCCGAGAATTACCTTGGCTAATTGGTTTGTTCTTTGGACAAGAACAATTGAATCTATTATTTCCGTACAAACATTAAAGCGATAGAACCTTCCAAAAATACCAAGAATTAGGAAAGGACTTGTTACCGAGAGCTCTACCATCCATGTTTATTAACCTCTCAACCAACCCTCGTCCGACTATTCGTTTCCATTTTTGTTTATTTAATAGGCTGGAAAACTACTTCGATGGCTCTCTGATGCGAGCTTTTTAACCGCTTAGCCATCCCATCAATAACTGATCGTGTATTAAACCTTTTATAAAAAATAATTTACCCATATAATTTTTGAATAGGCATTGAATCGAAGTTGTTTTAATTTTTTCTTCAAATATATCTTTTTTGTTAAGGAAAAGAATCATTGCTGTATTGTAGAACCATCTTGAATTACAGACTGAACGAAACAAACGAAGAGATTCAATCATTCGGTTCTGAAAAAAAAACATTTAAGCAATTATAACAGGGCTCTCATCGACAAAATGCCACTCAAAAGTATCAAAATCTTGATAAAAAAGTATATAGGGAGAAAATTTCCAAATTTAAAGTATACTCCAAATTAAATTAGAGAATATTTATTCGTGCTCAAATCTTTTATATTTCTCTCCTAAATGAATCTTTTCTAATAATTTCTTGCTTCCACTGAGCATTTTGTGCATTTCAACGCATGACATGTCAAAATTCGCTGATACAAGAAATAAAGCCCTGACAGTCTTAACCTCAAGCAAATTACTTTCTCCCATCTTCAGCGCCGCAGGCGAAATTTTTTTGAAATTCGGATCCCAAGAAGCCAGATTTCTTTCTTTTTCAGCGCCGCAGGCGAAAATTTTGATAATTTCGAAGGCCCAAGGCTAAAAAAATTCACTTTTTTGCCCAATCCCTTCCCCAATTTCATTCTCAATCAAAAATGTTGATTTCAAAGTATATACTTTCAATAAAGTATAAATTCAATTTCTTAAGTATGGAGGTCGGTTTCAAAGTATAATACTTTCAAATAAAGCACGAATGAGAGCCCTGAATTATAATAATTCAGTCCACTATGGACTTGCAAAAATAAACTGGAGAAATAGATTAAGACGGAAACATAACTTTTATTTTTGAAAATACCTTTATAACCAATAATAATAGAATAATATATAACTTGTAATATGCCCTTTAACTGGATGTGGGATAGTTTCTTAGTGCGACTATTGTGGATAGCTTTTGAGGATCGAGATCTGAAGATTGCCATTTGAGTAAAAAATATTGTTACTTAAAAAAAATCATCACAAATTATGTACTACGGAGAAGTTGCTTCACAGATGGGGGAAGAACAACTTCCCCGTAATACATAATTTGTGACAAACGCAGAGAAATTTGTTGAATTATTTATTCAACATCCAAAAATACTCAAAAATTTGGCCATCAAACTCTCTGTAGAGATTTTCAGGCGTATTAATAAATACAAAATTCATCTAATAATTAATATTTTGGTGATTTATGCTCGAGAACAAATGGTATGAAATGTCGGTCTTCAAAAGTTGGTCCTCAAAGGGGCCGCAAAGTTCCGTTAGCAACTGTAGTATAACCGACGTTATAGAGTAGTGCTGTTCAAGACTTGGTCATGAATTTTGACTCAAGACTATTGGGGTCTTGGAATGTAATCTTAGTCTAGATTCTTGGGAAATTTTCAGCTCTAGTGTAGAGCCATCACAGATGCTTTTAATAAAATCCAAACCGTTCTTGTATCCTCAAACAGCACTTGGTCATATTCACTTAATGCAACTACGAATATTATGGCGTGAACGTCCTAAATAATTTTAATTAATTAGGGACATTAGATCCCAATTTTACGTCAAAACAATGAATCCATTTTTTCCTTTCACTTCTTTGCCCGCCAACATCAAAAACGCGAAAATTGACACCTTTGATCTCGAACTTTACCTAAAATGGAGGGATAATTTTATCTTTAATAGCTCAACTAGAAGTTGCCGGGCTAGTTTTGGCTACAGGAGCTGGCTCAGGAGTAACATTGATTGTAGATTTAATATGGTATTAGTTTTTAATAATTATTTACTAGAGCCCGGACGGAGAGGTTGGGCGATACTTTTCGATAGATATCGAAAAATAATGGAAAAATATCATATCGAGCCGGGCTCTATTATTTACTAGTCTTAGGAATAAAAGACTTCCAAAAAATAATCAAGAAGTCACAGAATGAAGCTAATAGAAGCTTATTGTGAAGATAATTTTAAAATGATTTATATTTTCATAAAATTAATACGGTGCATTTAGTTGATTAATACAGTGCATTTAGCCCGCGCCCGCAATCCCGCACTTTTTTCGTTTTGCGGAATTTTGGGGGAGTGCGAAATTTTGCGGGATTTTCCCGTAAACGTCTTTAGAAGTTACTCCCGCATGCGGAATCCCGCAAATACGATTTTGCCGGTCACTAGCTGTCAGAAAATTTGTTAACCTCAATAATGCCAGTAGTAGTAATTCTAAGCATTAAAATATCTTGAGTTGTTGGCACATATGTATGAGCAGTTATTCTGTCGAGTGCGTTGAGAAAACTGGAAAATATTTTTAATTAATCACCCAACCTTCCCGAAAATGATTTCATCATACATAATATTAATTATTAGATTAATTTTTAATTTATTAATCCGACTGAAAAAACATAGATCTGTTCTGCCTAACAACTCGTTATTTTTGGATGTTGAATAATTCAACAAATATATCCCTCTAGTCAAACATTGAATAAGGGGACATTAATAGGCAACGGTTATATTCCATCTCAGTAATCATCAACAACTTGGCCAAATACTTCGTAATTACAAATAATACACTAATTGGTATGCCGCCCCCTCCATTTTTAGTCTTTTTCCTCATTTGAATATGCCACAGCGAAATAAAGCGAAATTAGGGAGGTCGGACTATTCTATACATCAGCAGTAGAGGTGGGTCGGAACAATCAGAGGTGTCGGAAATCAGAAATGGCTCAAAGAAGGCTAGAAGCCATATTTCTTCCTTTTTCAGCGCCACAAGCGAAAATTTTAGAAATATTGGAAAATCTTTAGTCGGAAATTTGCTTCAAAAATTGTCGGAAATCGGAAATTTTTCCAAAATTTCGGAAATAGAAAGGAGAAATTGGAAGTCGTAATTCCGACCCACCTCTAATCAGTAGGAAAATCTGAGCTCAAAATTAGGGAAGGAAAATCTGAGCTCAAATTAGGATTAGGGAAGTCATATCCATAAGTATCCACTAATTTATGGAAGATTAAAGTCATAGCTAACTCAAATATTTTTGTTAAAGTGGCGATAGCTATTACAAAAAATGGGGACAACATTAGTATTTGGAGATGCCAGTTAGTTAATCTTATCAGCCAATCTTATTTTACTTCAGCACATAATCTCTCTTATCCTATTATATTATTGCCTTAGTGATAAAGCCTTGCTTGATAACCATGTCTTTCTGTTAGTATCGGACAGAACTAAAAAGTAGTTCAGAACAATCTTGCTTAAAGTATTAGTGAATTCTTGATTCAACTCCCAAAAAATGACACCACCACACCACCGTGGCCGCTCCCTAAACGAAGTTTATATGTATGTTAAATTAAGTATAGAACAATCTAATAATTAATATTAAGTATTGAACGAGCGTTGACGCAAGATACCCACGGCAAACCTTCACACCTCTTAATTAACACTTTAATACCCCCCATCATTGGATACTCTTAATCAGAATCTACAATATATCTAACACCAAAGATTATCAGTTAAGGATGATTCGCCTAAAATAAAACGCCTAGAGTGGAGTTAAACCATTTGTGAACGTTAGTTTTTGGTTAAATCTTCTGTTAGTCACACACATCAACAGAATAATCTTGGTAAAAAATTTAGTTGAATTCTTGATTCAACTACCAAAAAATGACATCAACTTCAAAAACTACAACTGACTCCTTATTTACATAGAATTAAGTATAGAATAATCTAATAATTAATATTAAGTATTGAACGGAGTTAAACCTTTTATACGCAAACTTATGAAAATTTAATTTTAAACTCACTAAGGACAGCTCTCGTTAAAATTGAATTCATTCCCTCTAGGAGCTATCTCCTTTTGAATAATTGGATCTGCCCAAATATTTGCAATAGCATTTTTCAATTCTGGGTGAAGTTTAATCTTTTCGTCGTTGCGTTTAATTATTTCAGTCAATCTGTCGGCACAATCCTTTAAAAATAATTTTTTAACATTAGTTTAGTTATGTTTTAATAATATCTAATTTTTAATTAAATACATTCTTAAAAGAAGCTTGAATTATTTTGGACTACCTTTATTATCAGTGTCGAAGCCTTTATTTTTGTAAGCCAAGCAATGCTTAGGCTAATGTTATTGGGTACAGGCTTAGTGCCGACTTAACCCATACCCAGTTCTATATTACATTTTTCAATCAGTCTCTTATCGAACTAAATTAAATAATTTTCTCAGGACTGATTCTTTCCTTAGTTCTCTATCGGCACAATCCTTAAAAAATAATTTATTAGTTAGTACAAGTTATGTTTTAATAATATCAAATTTTTAATTAAATCCATTCATAAAAGAAGCTTGGATTTTCTTTAGCTATATACATATGTGTTTTGCCTTTGCAGCTCTCTATAGTATTTTTGTAAGCCAAGCTTTGCTTAGGCTAATATAATTGTTTACATGCTTAGTATAAAAGGCCAAGGCTGTTTCATCTCGTCAATCTCGTCAGTATTAGAGCCTCCCCCTTCATATAATCACTCCCCCTTGGAGGGTACGGTTCTGGGTATCAGAAAAAGTAATAAGAAGTTCGACTCAACCCATACATCTTCTACATTACTTTTTTCAGTCAGTCTCTCTTCGAACTTTGTGACTAACTATTATTCTGACTGATTCTTTCCTTAGCTTAAATTCTAGAATATATTTGGTATTGACTGGCGGTTCAATGTAAGGTTACATTATTCTTTCTCAGCGCTTTCCGTTTACATTAATAATCTATAGTTTTGAAAAATATCAAATTTTACATAATTTAATTTATAAGTGAAGCGAATTTTGTTAAGCAAAACGGATCTTGTCGTTTGCATAGTTATTTTTGTAAGCCGTGCTTTGCACTGGCTAATATTTAATGTAATGGAGGGAGAGCCGACATTGTAACCTTTCTACTTTGGATAAACTCTTATTTTCTTCCTTTCGATCCCGGCAGGCCTCGGACAGATTCAAGACATAACGTATAAATTAATCATTGATTTATTTACCCGCACCTATTTTTGGACTAGGCTGGGCTAAGTTGTGGCTGGGCTGACTAAAGTGTATTTGGGCTAAGGTTAAATATTAATATTTGGAAATCGGGATTCATAAATTAAAAAGTATCTTGAAGTACGATTTCGGAAATAAGTTCGATTCGATCTGTGGTATATACAATAGTAAATACCAAGTAACGACGGGATTTGCTATTTTTATTATCTTTTAAGGTAGCTGAAGTATTCGCTTCATGAATAACACCAAATGGAATGGAAACTGCGCCTGGTTTTGCTCCGTATCTTAAAAATTATTAATTTAAAGATAAAAATTAAACTATATAGCGAATCATAAACAATTTAGAATGACGGGAATTTGTTCTATTTTTGTAAGCACAAGTAAACTTGTGCTATTATTTCGAATCTCTAACCTCTATGTCCTTTGTAGAATATCTCAATTCCATTTTCTGCATTGCTATTATTAATGATTCCACACCGCTTAATATGTTTCTATAGATTGCCTGTCTCCGCTCTAGTCTTTCCACTTCGTTATAGCCGTTGTCATGGATTATTCTGTTTGTTAAAATTATTTTTTATGCTTTGTGTTCGATTTTTTTTTGACTTTATTGAGTTAAATACTTAGGTGACTATAACTAGGTGTACAATAGAGAGGGGCCCTTCCACATTTTTGAAATCAGAAAACGAAAACGGGATCTGAGTAAGTATAGGACTTTTGCAAAAAATAGTCTTATACATCCCCAGATTCAAAAATCGAAAACATAAAAACGGAAGACGAAAGCTGAATCCCATCCCTTTAGCATAAATTTGGCTACTGAGCGGGGAGGAGAGAGAGCTGCCTATATGAACCCCGACTATATTGTAAAGTTCTTTCATCTCTAAGTTGTACACCACCTAGATAATATCCCCTTTGTTTTTTTATCAAACTCACTTCATTTGTTTAAGCAATGTACTTTTGCCACCCTCGGCAGCACCTTTAAAAAAATTAAATAAATTTTAATTTGACAGATTAATTAAAAATTTTCAAACGTGCCTAAAAGCATTAGCTTGACAATTTTCTTTTGAGCCTCAAAATCCTGAAAATTTTAATGAATTACAGAGAAGAATAAAGTATTGTAAGGAATGGAAGATTCGGTTAGGCATTATTTAAAATGCCTAATAGGGATGAGGTTTACGATAATTTAAGAGAGAAGGCAAAGCAGCGCCCCTCATTTGTCAGTCCGTAGAGCTCTTGTCCGTGATGTGGTCAAGCAATTACTGGCAGGGGGTGCATTTACTCCAATTTTATAGCTATGAACTTTGTTCAAGCTTACAAAATTATAACTTTGCTTGTGGTCAGGACTCTAATACTAGGGTATAATTTTCACAATTTATTTTAATAATTATAAACTAATTAATATTAAGTATAATTTGCTACATTTCAAATATACCCATGCCTTAGAAAATTACCAAATAGAAATTTAACAAAAAATCATCAATTAGTTTATAATTTTTCTAATCATCAATTTTTGTTTAAAACCCCCTGGGTTACTAATAAATCCTCCAACTTTCTTCTCGAATCCTTAGAAACTAGGGTGAAAAAAATAAAACTATAATTGTGAAGATGGCATGTCTTCAAAATAGAACTTTGGGAACCCATCACCTTGCAGTTATAATCAATCATAAACTTTAAATTTTTGTTAAACCCTTGGATAAATAATGGAGCCTCCAAATTTATCCACACATCCTTCTATACTAGAAGTGATCACAATCAGAGGTTTATACAGTGCTAACTATATACTAACTCTGAGACCCAACACTCTCCCTTTAACTAGTCATGAAATTGAAATTTTGAGATAAGGTCACGAACTTTCCTAATAAAATTAGCCAAATTAAACAAAACAAACTCACATCAAACAGCTTTTTGTCAAGCTCCCTATTTTTCTGTTGTTCTCCGCTTTCACAATTTCCCATATTTAATGTTGTACGATTTAAATAATATATATTATGTATGTAAACTAAAATAATTAAATTATATGAAGGGAAAAACAAAAGTGTAAAAGAATAAAAAAAAAGGCATAGAAAAATAGACAAAAAAATTAAAAACAAGTAAATATGCACGATTTTTTTCGTGATAAATTTTACAAATTAAATTACTCGATTCCTTTAATTTTAGAGTGCTTAGTTTTGAAAAACTCTTAAAATGTTAAAAATTTGTCATTACGTTCCCAAACTATAGCTAAATACGAAAAAAGATAACAATAGAATTCGATATAGATACTTTGTTATTTACACCATAGCTAATATTTAAATTGAAATTAAACAGTAATTTTCCAGAAATAAGTAAGAATGCGGCTTTGTCGTCACTGATCTTTATTTTTTGGATGTTGGAAATACCAACAATATAAATGTTAGTCTATGCTCAGTCGGTAGAGCGCATGCAAATGCAAGCTTGTCTAGGTTAGAATCCGACCCGGTGGAAAAGCTTTTGCTAAACATTTACTATCATAGTCTGTTTTTCAATTAGAATTCCAACCCCTTTGCCCCTTAGATCGAATGAATATGCGTGCTAAAACAACATCAGGTTGGTGACTAAACTAGGATGATAAAGATAAGCCTAGAAAGGTGCCGTCCCTGAATCTCGAAAATTAATTAATGAGTCTAATTTCAAGTTCAGAGTCTATATACAAAATATATGTTTATTTAAATTAAATTGATAAAGTATTTAAAGATAGATCTTGAGAAGATTTAAAGAATTGGCAGACGATCATTTTTTGGAAGTTGGAAAACCCAACTAGAAAAAATACCAACTGTTTTCTAGCTAAAATTGAATAAAGTTATGAAGGCAATAGTTTGGTAGTTTCAGATATCCGGATCCAAAAATGGCAGGATATCCTAATAGGCTAGGTTTGAATGTCGTTTTCGGATCCGAATATTAGAGAGATTTCCGTGTATCCTCCAATGAAACTTAATTAGTTAATAAATAAACAGGCAAAGTGCCGCCCTAATTTCCGTAAGTCGGTAATACGCAACGTTTTTTGTGTCACAAGTGTTGAATAGAATTTACAAAATATAAGTGAATATAATTGTAAATTGGTAAATGCTTAAAAATATACATATATGACGGGCTGTATGTGTTGGTGTTTGGGTTCATTTTTTGGAAGTTGGATGATCCAACTATAAATGTGCTTGTTATGCTTGTGCTTAGAGTACAAGGCATAGGCTTTAGCCTGTTGGTGTTTATTATAGTGTTATTATGTAGTCTTAAACAGTCTTTAGAATTTTAAACTTTGCTAGCACTCGTACTTTCGTAGATGCCGAATTTTTTTGCTCATACTCGTAATCCTTACGCAATTGCAACCTAGTTTATTCTAATCGCTTCGCCTTAAAAGTGCTGCCGTTGTGATATAACAGATGTTAGTTACTGTCTTTATTCTGTTATTCCTTGTAAACTAAACAGTCATGTCTATAATAAAAATTAAAGACTGCCTCTAATATGTAGTAGAAGGACACTTCAGGAATTAGAGGATATAAAGTCGCTATCAGAAGGAATACGATAATTACAACATTACTTTATATTAATTATTAATTAAAATTAATATATATTAAGTAAATTTATAAAATAACGCAACTCAAGTTGATGGGAAAATAGTACAAAAATTGTTTTAAAAGCCAACCAAGCAAACAAATTAATATATATTAAGTACAAACGCAATATATTTGTTAATAAAATGTGTGACATTTTAACGGAGGCAATTACAATTTTAATTGTGTGCCTTAAAGCAAAGGAAGGCAAATATTGATTGGCACGAGATTTTTACTTTAAAGTAATAACTTGAAATGCGTGGCAGTTTTAAAAAGTAAAGGCAGTTTGGCTGACAATTAAAAAGAAATGGTTGAAGGAAAAATTAAATTACCTACAGCCTTTTTTCCCTTACTCTTATTCAAACTAAGAGGTGTGGATATTACAGAAGTGAACCAAGAAAGGGTATGACGTGTTTTATAAATTCCATACAAAGCAGGTAAACAAGGTTATGAATTATAAGTTGGAATAATCCGCACGCCCTCAATAGTCAAGTTAGGATTGGCACATGCAGACAGACCTAGAGGAAACGAAGAATTTTTTCAAGGTTATTACAGGTTATTTGCTGTAAAATAATCAGCATCCAAAAAATAAGACTAGTACTCAATACCCCACTATACATAGAATGAAATTGAGTGAATTTAATAAAATCGAAATAATAAAAAAAAACCAATATTTTGTAGATTATTGTGTAGATCATAAATGAACCATAAAGTTTGTGACGTATTTTAGAAATTTTCATACAAAAAGATTGTAAAAAGATTATGAATACAAGTTGGAATAATACGAACCGCCCTCGATTAGACAACTTAGAATTGGCATATGCGGAGAGACATAGAGATAGCGAGGAATTTTTTAAGTCTATTACACGTTATTTGCTGTAAAATAAACAGCATCCAAAAATAAACCAACTTGTATTCAATAATCCACTATAAAACAAAATTGAACGGATTTGTTAAGAATGAAATAATAAAAAAAACAAATATTATGTAGATGAGTATTAATATGTACAATAAACTAATTAAACTCACAATTGTTTATTGACAACAACTTAAAGTAGTAAGGCACGAATCGAGAACGATGGCTTTTTAAAACAAAAAATTCAGAAAGGGCTAGATATCATCAGGTTATTTACTGAATAATGTTCAGTATCCAAAAAATAACTCGGAAATGGAAGTGCTCTTCAGACGACAAAATTAAATAGAACGAGCTTAGTAAAAACCGAAATATAATTTAATAAACAAATAGTATGCAGATGAGCGTTATACAAAAACTCTTTAAGCTGATAAATGAATCAAGATTATTTAATTGACAGGAAATCACTTTTATTCGTAACCACAAATTGTACCGGCTTGCTATATTTAAGTAATTTATTATATTACCAAATTTCCTTATAGTTTTTCACTTGATAAAACCAAAACACCTGTATATTGCACAACGAATAAAATTTTAAATGTTAAATTACTTAATATAAATAATTTGAAAAATAATTATTATTAAGTAATACTTTAGTGCTACATGCAATTGTTATATTATTTTTTTCGCGTCTGTCGTCAGAAATAATTTGCTCTGTTTAAATAAATTGTGGGTGAAATGTGTGTACTATATTCCACACATTTAACATTTGTGAGAAGAGAAGCCTCAATTACATATAATTTTAGAAAAATTGATGATGTGATTAACTAATCCGTTAGAATAAGTTAGCATAGATGATGATATAAACTAAAATAGCATTAAACAAATTTACGAATGTACAATTTTAAAAATTAATAATTAATTTCACGCTTTTAACAAGAAAATTCAGAAAGGGCCAAATTTCATCTTAAATATCTTAGATTAGTTTGTGATAGAGAGAGACACCTTTCTCCTTTGTCTTTTGAGGACGAGAAGATAAAATAGATAAAAATGTCAACCTATCATTTCAGTTTTTATTATACTGAGTAGAAATTTTAGCATACGTACAGACATCCTGATTTTGATGATTTTGACTTTAAAACTTATGTTATGGTTTAACGGAAAAGCAATATATTCTAAAATTAGCCTGAGTAAAATCGGCTTCCAAA